TGTACTCGAATCGCAAGCCACTGTGGTGCTCTCAGGCAGAGAGTGCTGCTCGCGCGCATACTATGGCGATCGCAGAGCGCCCCTGCTTCGCCATACCCCGCCCAGCCCAAGCGTTACCGTTACCCGGGGGGCACGACCCCCCCCCCCCCCCGGGTAACGAGCGTTACCGGCCGGAATAAAAAAATGATCTCAAAAAAGAGCAGGGACGAGTGGCAAGAGGAAGGGGGGAATAATATTAATAATACTAATAATAATAATACTAATAAATAATATTAACAATAATAATACTAGTAATAATAATAATAATAATAATAATAATAATGAGAGAAAGACCTATTAGGGATGACGAAGGCGAGAACGTGAGGAGGAGGGAGGAGGAGGCGAACAAGGAAGATGATGATGATGAGGAGGAGAAAAGGGAAAGGAAAAAGAGGAGGAGAGGAAAAGGAGAAAGAGGAGAGAGGAAAAGGAGGAAAGGACAGGACGAGAAGAGATGTGAATAAGAAGGGGGAGAGGATAGATGATGAGGAGGGGGAAGCAGGATGAGGAGGAAGATCATGAAGATCATGGTTATGCTGGTGATGCTGTTGATGGTGGTGGTCATGTGGAGGAGGAAGTTTATGAAATGAGTGTTGATGATAGAAGTGTCCGGCATGCCTGGGGTGTCCGGGGTGTACGGGGTGTCCAGGGTGTCCAGGATGTCTGGGGCGTCCGGGGTGTCCGATGTGCCCGCGGTGTCCAGGGTGTCCGGGGTGTCCGGGTTGTCCAGCGAGTCCGGGGTGTCCAGGGAGTCCGGGGTGTCCAGGGGTTGTCCAGGGATTGTCCGGTGCGTCCAGGGTGCCCGGGGTGTCCGGCTGTCCAGGGTGTCTTGGGGATTGTCTGGGGACTTGTTGGGGTTTTGAATGTCTCGCAATTTCGCGGCGGTGCCAACTTCCCGAATCGAAAATGACGAAGGATACGAGCATGTTCCGGAAGGCTCTTCTCAGAACAAGCTCGTTGCGCGAATTGGCGAAAGTTTGTTCGTCGTCTCCTCCTTTGGCATGTTCTGTGCATCTTGCAGATCCGCCCACTTTCAGCCTTCTGTACGCGAGAGGTGCCTGATTTGCACCGAATCTGCGCTACATGGACGCCCACGCACGAGTATGGCATGATGTCGCCGAGGGAGAGCGGACCCGATAGGCACAACGTGGAGTAACGGTCACTAGAATCTAAGCGCGCGCGAAGCGCATGCGTGGTTCGTTTCGGGCCCGGCGAGGGGCGCCAAAAAACGTCACAGGGGGCCGAGAGTCGTCCAAGAAGGCGCCAAGATGGCCCAAAAGCTCTCCAAGCGAGCCCAAGACCGCAAAAGAGCGTTTCAAAATTTGTCCAACATGGCTTGAAGACAGCCCACGAGGGCTTCAAGACGACCAAGATGCCCTCAGAAGGACTCCCACGAGGCACTCAGGAGGCGAAATAAGTATGCTTTCTCGAAGTGGTTTTGAAGGTGTTTCGTGTTCTCGCTGTTTCGTGCTTCCGACGGTCCAAGACAGCTCACGAGGCCCCAGACATCAGCTCGAGACGGCCTCAGAGGCACCCAAAGGCGGCGCCACGACGGCGCAAGAGAGTCCCAAGACAGCCCAAGAGCGCCCCAAGACGGCCCAAGAGGCGCCCAAGATCGCCCAAGAGGGCCCCAAGACGGCTCCAAAGGGGCCCAAGAGGGGCCCAAGAGGGGGAACACGAACGATAATTCAAGCCTTCCGCCCCACGAGGCCTCCAGGAGGCCCCAAGAGGCCCCAAGAGGCCCCCACCAGAGCCCAAGAGGCCCCCTAGAGGCACCCTAGAGGCCCAACGAGGCCCCAAAGGGGCCCCAAAAGACGCCCCACGAGCATCCGTAGCCATTTTGGCTTAAGGTGGCTCTGACTGCAGCGCGCGAGCGCTCATCATAATTGCCCATCACCATGCGGACCCCGCGACCAGGCTCCTGGGGCCCGAGGCGGCACACCTTTCCCAAACTCCCCCCTCCCCCGAGGGTGCCCACTGTGTCCCTCGGAGTCCGAGACTCATTGCGGGCCTTCGAGGGGCTTTCGGAGGGCCCGAAGGCGCTCGCCAGACGGTCCAGGAGGCTTCCGAGACGGTCCAAGAGCCAAGGCGCCCAAGATGGTTTCAAGACGGCCCGAGAGGCCCCCCAAGCCCTTCAAGAGGGCTCCAAGAGGACACCTAGGAGGGCCGCAAGAAACACACATCGCCCCAATTCCTCGGGGAAGCGTATGTTTTTAGCATTTTCGTTTTCTGTTATTAATAGCGTCCACGACGGCCTCAGAGAACCCCAAGATCGCCGCAAGACATCCCAGAAAGGCCTCCAAGACGGCCCAAGAAGCCCCCAGGATCGCCCGAAGATGACCCGCAGAGCCCTCCAAGACGGCCTCCGTAGGCGCCTGTGGATCCCAGAGCGCTCTGTGACAGTCCAAGAGGCCCACAAGACACCCCACTCCGCACCCCTCCCCGCTCCTTCTAGATCGTTCCCATTCCTCTCCATCCCTCCCCGCTCCAGGCAAGTGTGTGCGAGGCGGCTGCGTCTCTGGTTGCGAGATCTTGCCAGTGCATACCTACATGTACGACCACCCTTCGGGTGATAAGGATGTTGTGTGTGTGGTGAAGGGGGAGAGGAAGGGGGGACCAACTGGAGCTACAACATAACATTGCATCGCATATTAGAACATAGTGTAGCATCGCATAGCATCGCACAGCACAGCATATACGAGCACAGCGTAGCATCGCACCGCATAGCATCGCATGTCATCTTATAGCATCGCATCGCATCGCATCGCATCGCATCACATCGCATTTACTAGCATACCGTCGCATAGCACAGTATGGCGTAGTATAGCATAGCATATCATAGCATCGCATCGCATAGCATAGCATAGCACATCGTAATTATAATCTCATCGCATCACAACACATACCTTAGCATCGCATTGGTAGCATAGCGTAGCATGTACAGCATCGCATAGCATAGCATAGCACCGCATCACATAGCACCAGACACGACGGGACACCGCGGGACACCCAGGCCACCGCCGGCCAACTAGGGGGGACACCACTGGACACCACGGGACCCCCCCGGGGCACCGTTGGCCAATCGCGGGGCACGGCAAAACGTTGCCCGGTTTTGCCGTAAGCACTGCTGGTTCATTCTTTTCGCCCGCCTATGCAGCTTCGCCTCGCCCACACGAGCGGCACGAACACGAAACCGACAACGATATCCTGGCAAGGGGTCTCTTGTTCACTTCGATCTCTTTCCCACCCTCGGATTCCATCACACCACCAGACACCGCGGGACACCCCCGGGCCACCGCTGACGCAGCTTCGCCTCGCCTACGCGCACGACACGAACACGAGACCGAAACGAGTTCTTGGCGGGGGTTCTCTTGTACACCCCGATTTCTTTCCCGAACTCGGCTTCTATCTGCTTGCTGCGGAAGCAATCGTTTGTTTAGCTCCGCCTGGCCCCTCCTTCCCCCCCTCCTCCTGGGCCCCGAAGACGACCCAAGAGGACCCCCAAAACGGTCCCGGAGGTTGCAAGAGAGGAAACGAGGAAACGCACGACGTGGGTCCCACCGGCTGCGCGCTGGAGGACGACCCAGAAGAAGCGCGCGCCGGAGGACGACCCAGAGAAAACACGTGAGGTGCGGGTCCCATAGGGAGGGGGCTCCCTCCCGAGACTTCCTCGCAGGGAGGGGGCTCCCGCCTGAGACTTCTTCGCATCTCACTCACAGACGAGGCCCCCGCTTGATACTTCCTCCATATTCAGATTCCAGGAGCCCAAAAGTGACGACATGTACAAAAGGCCGATGACCTGCTCCGATTAAAAACATGAGTTGCGGGCCCCAGAGGGAGGGGGGTCCCGCCTGAGCCTTTGTTGTGATTCGCTCACAGACGAGGTCCCCGCTTTTTTTCTACATTTTTCTGGCCTCAGGAGTTCAAAAGTGACGACAGTTACAGGAGGCCGATGACCCGCTCGGATGAAAACAAAAAAAACAACTGCGGGCACCATAGGGAGGGAACTCCCGCCTGAGATTTCCTCGCATCGCACTCAGATATGAGGCTCCCGCGTGATACTTCCTGCATATCCACGCCCCAGGAGCCCCAAAGTGACGACAGTAACGCTCTCGGATTAGAAACGTGAGCTGTGGGCCCCATAGGGAAGGGACTCCCGCCTGAGACTTCCTCGCGATGACGTCAGACGAGGCTCCTGCCTGAGATTCCCTCCGCATTCAAACTTCCGGAGCCCAGAAGAGACGACAGTTACGGGAGGCCAATGACCCCCTCGGACTGAATACGACATGAGCTGCGGGCCCCATAGGGAGGGGGCTCCCGCGTTAGGTTTCCTCGCAATTCACTCACATACGAGGCTCCCGCCGGATACGTCCTCCATATCCAAGCGTCAGGAACCCAGGAGTGACTGTCAGTTAAAGGAGGCCGATGACCCGCTCGGATCAAGACTCACTGCCCGGAACGCCCGATTTGTGCAGCTATTTGCATGGACCTGGCCGCCGTGAGTGTCTATGTGCAAGAGTTTACGAATAGAAGTGGACTTGGATATTGACGATCTGGGAGTGAATATAACTGTGAATGAGTTGGAGCGCGAATGAGTCTCACTAGTATTAGTGTGTCTCTGCGCATGAGCTGGGGGCTTCCTGGGGCCTCTTGAAACCCTCCTGGAGCCTCCTGGGGCTTCCTGTGGCCTCTTGGGGCACTCGCGTGGTCTCTTGGGGCCTCCAGGAGCCTCCTGGATCCTCATGGGGCCTCCTAGGGAGGATTCGTTCCCCAGGATATGCCCAATATATAAGAACATACGTCAGGAGAGTGGCAATCCATAGGAACACGCGTAAAACACCAAGGACTCCTGCCCCAGGGGAGTCCAAATCTATATAGGGACCTATGTAAAACAGTGAGGAATGGATGTAAACACAACGGATTCGCACTCCAGGGGAGGCCCAACCGATAGAAACGAATGTAAAACGCCGGGGATTGGAGCCACTCCTGTGGCCTTCTGAGCCATTGTGGCTGAAGCCATTTCGCTCAAGCCATTTTGGCTCAAGTTGGCATGCGGCTATGGTCGGCTCCGAGCGGCCCCAAGTTGCCTCAATTGGTGGGTTGCCGCGCGTGCTTCATGGTCTTGCCAGGGTGCCCGCACCTGCACTCGCCCACGCGTAGGGCTCTTCATTATTGCGCTGTTGCCTGCACATCGATACTTGCGTACTCTCAGATAGTCTCGTTGCATACGACGTATGCTACTTGGTCGAGTGGGCGCGCATCTTCCTCGACGCCGCCTGCTAGTGTGTTGGGGGGGCCTCCGACGCCAGCTGTTGCGGTGTTCGTGCAGTTAGCGAACCCGTCTGTGTGGCCGCACCTTCGGGATTGCGTCACCAATGTTCTAGAAGGGGCGGCCGGCATCACTGAGCAAGGGGCTCGGCTGACAAGGAATGTGGACGTGTACGTCGGAATGGTTTCAGGCAGCAACAATTCCAGCATCGCGGAAGACGCCCGCCTGTTGCTGCTCAGGTGGAACAGGGGGGGCGAGTACAAGGCGCGATTGATCATGAATTTCTCCCTCGAGAACAAGGGCGCCGACGTGGGCCTGTTCTTTCAACAGATCCAGCAGGTACACGACCCATCGAAATACGAGTTTCTGCTCAAAGTGCACAGCAAACGACAAGAAGCTTGGCGGTGTCAGATGTTGACGTCGCTTTGCGGAAGCAAGGATCAGGTGAAGCACATATTGGATAGGCTTGACCATCAGCGAGACTTGGGCATATTGGGGCCATGGGCCCTGACATGGCGGTATGACGATATGGTCGATCCTGTTAAAGTCCAAGACTCGTTTGACCAGCTTGCCAATTATTCATTTCCAGAGAATCTGGGGGGCGCGTTTATGAGACGCGCTTGGGATTTTCTGTATGACAATCGCGTTGCCCTTCCTCCCCGTGACAAGTGGGCGATGGTTGCGGGAACTTCTTTCTGGGCCCGCTCCGCACCGCTGTTGCAAAATCCACGTCTATTCTCCGCTATATCTCGGTGGCTGGCGATTTGGGAATTTGGCTACGATTCAAATTGTCGTAATCGGACGGCTTGCCTAGATGCTCTTGGATTGGAAAGGGCCCTACCGACAATGATAACATCTGAACACGCGCTTAATATTGCGGAGGTCCCAAACAAGTGCCGCCGACATGATAAACACAACCACTGCTGCCACCACAGAGACTGCATGTCGTCATGCGCATACGCGCTACCTCCACCGAGTGTGTAAGTAGAGCTTCATGCGTGTCGGAGGACAGAACGAATGCGTTCCAGGAGGAGGATGTCCTTTAGACGGCTCCACCAGCCCCCAAGAGACCCTTGGGCGTTTCAAAAAGGAACGCTTCGTTGATTGTATGATGTCCTCCGATGCCTAACACTTAGTCTACAACCATAGGTGCAATGCCTTCCAAGCATCTCCAATATTCCGCTAATCATCTGGCTTGCAGGTGAGATTCCTTTTCGGCCAGCGCAGTCGATTAGATGCATTCCTTTGATTTTCAGGAGCGGTTCGCTCCAACATGCGCGAACATCCTTGTGCAATCGACCAGATAAGTTCGTGCGAGGCGGTTGCGACTCTGGCGCGAGACCCCGCCTGTGCTTCTCGGACCTAAGGAATCAGGTTGGTACGCTGTACGTGTGTGGCGTGTCGAACGGCGACTGGCCGTCCCATCCGAAACAAAAAGAGTCTCAAGTCCCTCTCGCGTCTGCTGTTTGTCTCTTCTCACCGTGGCGCTCGGACGTAGCTGGGACGATGACAAATCCATTCCAGAGCGTTCCAGAGCGCTCTCAGGGCGTTCCAGACCGCTCTGAGAAGGCCTCGGCGCCCGAGACATCCTCCAGAGCCGCCGAACCTCAGAGATTCTTGGTTTATCCCCACCCGATGTTATCCTCGTCCTGGCTTCGTCTTGGGCGCTTCTCCCCGGGTCTTCCTTGTTCCACGCCCACGCTACGCCGCCAGAGTCTTCCCGAGCTTCGCTCCGAGCTCTCGGCGCCACGGCGCCACCGCTCCGCTCTCGGAGGCGCCGCGCCCGCCGCACGCCTGCGAGCGCCCGCCCGCCCGTGCCTGCAGAGCCCCCCACTGGCTAGCCCAGGTGATGTACCAGGTCGGCCTCTTCGGCTTCTACTGGGTGCCAGGCCGGCCCTTTCCTTCCGCCGCCGCCATCGGAGAAGAAACAACGGCACACACATCAACCTTGGGCGCTCCCCGCGGATTTCTCGGATCCGCGCTGGCCCGGCGCCGCCCCTGGCTCGCTCCGCGCACCAGGAAGGGGGGTCCAGCGCGGATCCAAGACATCCGCGCTGAGCGCAAAAAGTTCATCTTTATGCCGACATGTTTCGTTCTTTCTTCGGCTTCTAATGGGTGCCAGGCCGGCCCTTTTCCATCCGTCGCCGCCAGCGGCACGATCGAAACGGGTACGGAAAGAATGAGAGGCCAAAGTCCATTCACAGTTCCTGTCGCTTCGAATAGGACTCGCTGTCCGCGCCGCCGCTGACGGTGTCCATTCGAGACAGAAGGCCGCCTGCCCGACAGCGGCCGCTGTCGGTTTTGAACAACGTTTGTTGTTGGGCAGTGTACTCCTTTTCCTCGTACCCATTTCGGGCGTTGAACGGGCAAGGGATCTCACCTTTGGGGGGTGGTCACTGCCCCGGGAACGGCAGGGCCGTTCTCTTGGCGTTTTCAAGCAAGTGCTTTCAGAACCCGAAGCAGTTCAACAGACTGCTTCTGGACGTGGGGGCCAGGACCCGAACAACAAGGCACCAGATAAAGCAAAGCATTGCAGAGGCAAGCTGGTAACACAGCAGTCCTGTCGCTTCCAGGGCACATTGAGGCGCAAACATGGGTGCAGGCGCATGGTTTCCAGGAGGGAAAACACACACAGACACAATTCATCGTCGATTCCCAGAAAAATATTGGGAAATATGGGAAATGGGGGGAAGACAAATACCCAGACAATTTGGGAAAGTATGGGGAATCCTGTTATTTGTGTACATTTATTTGTGTGTCCTGGGGCCCCTTCAGGGTTAGCGACGGGCCCCGCTTCAGTGCAGAATCGGCGCGTTCCGTCGCTTCAAGTCAAGCGGCGCTGACACCATGTGTCGGGGGTACTTTCCTGGGTCCGTGGATGTGGCGCTTCGCCCACCAGCTCTACGGTTCCGTAGTTCATATATCATCATATCAGCGTGCGCCACGTTCTGGAAATCGAGGATCGAGGAGGAGAAGGAGCAGGAGAAGGGAGGAACGAGGATCGAGGAGGTTCTGGGCGCTCCTGGGCGTCCTTGGGAGGAGGAGGAGGAGGAGAAGGAGGAGGAGGAGGAGGAGGAGGAGGAGGAGGAGGAGGAGGAGGAGGAGCAGGAGGAGACCAACAATGATCGAGGAGGACTCTGGGGGTCCCTGGGGGGGCCCGTCTCTTGGAGGAGGTGGCATCGCCCCTGACTATCCCCCTTGGAACCGCCCAGGATCTGGGCGTCCGCCACTCGTTCCCGACCCGACATGGTGGTGTTGTTACAGCCGTACCGAGGTATACGACCGAGGTCGGTTCGGGGAGGGTACCCTCGTGTTCTGCGAGCTTGTTGGATGTTCTTCTGCATCCCGGGGGAGGGCACCCTCGAATGCTCTTCAGTCTGGGCCAGCGGGGGGTCTCGTGCTCTTGAAGGATGCTCATCTGTCTTGGGTCCGACTGCAGTGCAACTAGCTCAAAAAAGACAAGAGCTCCAGACCGCCTCGCAATCCTGCATGTACAGCTGGGGCCCTGAAGAAGGAACCCTTTTCGTTGGGGAGGGGCTCGGTGTTCCTTGATGGTTCTACAGTTTGCCTTCTGTTTTCCTGAGGTTTTCCAGGGGAATTCGAAGTTCAACTTATGGGAGAAAGGGGCCCCGTTCCTTATTTGGGGTTCCTTAGGTCAACGCCCCGACTGTACCGCGGCCGCATGCCGCGGCCACCCGGCCCCCGACCGTGCCGGTGCTCCCCGGGGAGCCCGCCTCGCGCTCTCGGATGGGGGCCGCTCGAGGCAGCGTGTTTGTGCAGGTGTTGTGCTCGTTTCCTTGTGCCCTGTTTTGCCGATCGGCGCGGGGCCTCGCCCCCCCCCCCCCCCAGTTCAGGAGCGAAAAAAGGACGTGCAAGCACATGAATCCACGCTGGTTTCGAGAGTTCGCATGGCGCGAATGTTCGTATTACGCGGCCGGTCTCGCGGGTCAAGGGGCCGTGTTCATGTACATAGCTGGGCGCGTACATCCTTTTGTGGGCTCCCTACCAGTGGAGTCTATCTTGGCTGTTCCTGGCGCCTGTTCCGAGGAGCAGGTGGGGTAAGCACAGGGTCTTCGCCTCAGGACTCTCCATGAGAGCATTGTTCCAATCATTCGCGCTAAGCAGAGGTCCGGAGCCAGACCCCCCCCCCCCTTCCGCCCAATGGCGAAACGCCGAATAAGAGACCGTTCGCAGCGTGTCCCCCCTCGTCACCGTGAGCCTCGTCTCGCCGAGCTCCTGCACCGGCAGGCCGGCGCTCCATCAGCACCATCATCACCATCATCACCATCGCCATCATTCCTTTCCTCTTCCTCTTCCTCTTCCTCTTACTCTTCCTCCCCCTGGTCTCCCCCCCCCTCCCCTCCCTTTCCTCCTCGCATTCCTCGCCCGTGTCGCAATTGGCTTTGGTGCCCCCTTTGTGCGGCCTCTCCATCCCCTCCCCGTCCCCATCCTCCCCCTCCCGCACGGCAAGACTAAGATGAGCAAGGTATCATCAGGTCACCCCAGACGACTCGACCTCCGCGCCTGTTCCCCCACCGACCCTCCCTTTCGGATGCAACTCCTGGGAGGTCTAATTCTGATTCTGCCCGGGTCCGAAGTCCGGCTTCATCCCGCTTGATCCCGCTAAAGCCCCGGCTGAATCCCGCTTAAAAGCCCGCTTGATCCCGCTGAATCCGAGGCCCACTTCGGCGTAGCAGCCCCCCCCCAATGGGGCTCAATTCGGGGACGCGTAAGACTCGAGTAAGCCGGAACTCGGGTTTGCCGACGTTTTTTGACGAGCGCGTCTATTGGATTTTGACGGTCCAGTTTTCGTGGGATGTCTGCAGCGGGAGTTCGCGTCAAATTTCAGATCGGGTCTCGTCATTTTTTCGCTGACCCCGTCAGGCCAACCCGAGTCCCCCGTGCCCGAGCCTTACGTCTCCCCGATCAATCCTCCTTCGTCCTTCCCGACGAAGACCTCCCAGCAGTTGCCTCCTTCACCTCCTCCTTTTCCTCCTCCTCCTCCTCTTCCTCCTCCTCCTCTTCCTCCTCTTCCTCCTCCTCCTCGTCGTCCTCCTCTTCCTGTTCCTCCTCCTCCCAGCAGTTGCCTCCGCATCCCCTCGGACCTCCGCCCTCGCCCTCCGCCCTGGCCCCAGCCCCGCCGCGGACTGGGAGGCAGGCGGAGGCGGGCCTCTCTCCGCCCGGGTGGCGGCCGGCCTCTCTCCGCCCGGGAGGCGCTGCCGCGGGAGGGGGTAAAGCATGGTTCACTTTCTGAGCATTCGAGGGTTCTTCGAGTTTTGTGCTTGGGGGGCCAGGGTCCTCTCACTTCTAAGTGTTCCATCCTGGGCCTCTTCCTGTCCACTTAGGGGGCCGGGAGCAAGCAGAAACGAGCACGATCAGAAACGAGCACGGTTAGGGGTGAACGACGTGTACGGGGACGGCGCGGAGGAACGGTCGGTGAACTCCGAGTGGAAGCCTCGCACCTCGTTCCTCGCAGCCGGTCTGAGCAAATCTCGAGCGTGTCATGGCAACGGCCTGCGTGGAGACGGCCCTTCCCACGGGTGGTCGTGCGGCGGTGCTCTCCCGTTCGCCGCGCGGCCACCGGGCGAGGCCGCGGGAGCTGGGGGTGCTGGCTCCTCCGGCTCTTGGGGCTTCTGCTGGCGTCGACGGCAGGGCATGAGCCATGCGCCCTTCGTCCAGCTCGGCCCTGTCGGCACCAGGTCGCTGGTGCAGACCCCTCTTTCTTGGTGGCTGTCCCTTGGCATCGCTCGGGCGTGTGCATTATTCCTTCGGCGAGGACCATCGAGGAGCATCATTGACCATGTGGCGAATACAACCACGCACGAAACCGGAAAAAGCTCAGGGAATGGACGTCCGAGCGATGGCCAGCAAGGTCGCTGGTGCAGATCCCTCTCTCTTTGTGGCTGTCCCTGTCTGTGCAGTTGAGGGTCGCCTCCAGTGGAGGCACATGGGCCGGGCCCTGCACCCCTCGGGGAGGACGCGCCATCACTCGGCTGTAGCGCGGCAGCGTCCGCGTCGACATCAAAATCTCTTCGCGTCCTTCTCCTCCCCCTTCTCTCTTTCCTTCTTCCCCCTCCTCGCACAGCCGTGGGCTTCATCGTCTTCGGGCAGCTGGCCGTGGAAAGCTATCCGACCCTAGTTGCCGCCACAGGCGACGCCCGCGCAGCCTCGCCTGGAGTCGGTCGCCGCCGCCGTCGCCGCCGCCGTCGCCGCCGCCGCCGCCGCCACCGCCGCCGCCGCCGTCGTCGTCGTCGTCGTCGTCGTCGTCGTCGTCGTCGTCGTCCGCGTCCAGAGGCTATCGGAGGTATTCAGAGACCGTCGTCCTCCTGCCTCCCTCCCCTGTTTCCCACTCTCCTCTCTGTCCCTTCCGCTTAATCCCTCCCCTCTGCCCCGATGTCCATCCTCTTCCTGCCCCTCCCTCCCCTGTCCCCCTGCTTCCCCCGTCCCCCCCTTTTAAACTTCCTCCTCCCTATCTCTGTGGGGCGTCGCCCTCCACATCCCGAACCAAGAAGGTGGCGTGGAGGGGGTGCGGGGAGGAGGAAGGGCAGGGAGGGGGATATGGGGAGGAGGAGGAGGGGGAGTAGAAGGAGGGAGAGAGGAGAGGGAGGCGAATAAGGCGGACGTAGAGGACGATGTTTGGCGGGGTGTGTCTCGCTGTCTCATGGGTGATGTGCTGTGCATGGGTCGAGGATGGTATCATGTCTTTGCCATAGACGGCACGTTGAAGATCGCTTCGCAATGCAAGGTCGTTGGATGCACCTGGGAAGTATTGACACCATCTCGTTGCGCAATATCAGACATGGGCCACCGTAAAGGTATTCAGACTTACCTCCAGCATTCAGCATGGCGGGCGAGCATATGGGGCCATACGTCGAAGGCACATCGCGCTTTGCAGGGCCGCCAGCAAAAGTGGGGCAGTCTCTGGAAGCACATAAGGGCGCATACCTGGGCAGACGTGCCTCAACGTTCTAACCTCCACGGGGCCGGGGAGCACGGGGTGGACGTGGACGGAGGAGACTGAGGAGGAGGGAGGCGAAGGGTGCGAGGAACTGGGCGAGCAGGGAGCGAGGAGGAGGCCCAGTCCCGGTAACGGCGCACTGGAACCCGGCTCCAACATCAAGATCTTTCTGCGGCAGAGCATATCCAGCGTCAGTTGCAAGCTCTCGTCCGTGTCTTCGCGCTCGTCTGTCGGTTGTTGACGACTCTGTTGAGAGATTCCGCAGGACGCCGCGGGCCCTCCCCCCTCTTCCCTTCCAGTGAGCCCCACGAGGCCGATGAGCACTATGAGGCCTTGGGCCCTGCGAGCCCCACGAGTCTGAATGTTCGGCCTTCGAGCTCAATGAGGCCCGCGATGTTTGGCGGCCCTGGCGTGCCCTCGGGCTTCAGGGCCCCTGCTCACCCAATTGGCGTCCGCAGGGAACGTGCTCCCAGCTTTTCCAGTAACCTCATGCCCGTGAGAAGAAACACTAGGGGATAATAAAGTTCGGGGTTCAGGGAGAGATAATAAAAGTAGCCCAGCAGACCTCAGCATAATCTCGAGGTAAGAGATGATCAAGAGGAGACCAAGCCGAGCACGTTTTGAGACATCCTCGGCGTTTAGTTTTCATAGAAATATCCTCAACAATGGCTTATCTCGCTGGAATGGAGGAAGCTATATATAAATAAATAATAATAATAAAAACATAAAAGAAATGATAGGAGGAGGAGACGGACGAAGAGAAGAAAACATCTCGAGTTTCAAATCTATTAGATTTTATTTACAAGCGCTTTATGAACATTGATTTTGTAAGTGCTCGTGTAGGGTAGCTCATGTGCCTCAATTTCCATGGATACTCAACCCCAGAGATAAAAAAGTTCAGGCGAGCGTGGGGACAGAGAGAAATATAAAAGAAGAAGAATACAGTAGAATAATAATAAGACAGAAGAAGAAGAGGATAATAAGAAGAGGACGAAGAAAGGAAACATCCAAAGTTCCAAATCTATCAATTTTAATTTACAAACGCTTTATGAAAATTGATTTTTTAAGTGCTCGTGTAGGGTAGCTCATGTGCTTCATTTTCCATGGATAATCAACCCCAGGGATAAAAAAGTTCAGGCGAGCGTGAGGACAGATAGAAATATAACAGAAGAAGAGGAAATTATAATAATAATAAGAAGAGAAGAAGAGAAGAAGAAGAAGATAAGAAGCACGGAAAAATGGAAAGTTCCAAATCTATCAATTTTAATTTTCAAACGCTTTATGAACATTGATTTTTTTAAGTGCTCATGTAGGGTAGCTCATGTGCTCCCCTTTCCATGGATAATCAACCCCAGAGATAAAAAAGTTCAGGCGCGCGCGGGGATAGCAACATCGCTTGATGTTGCTATCTCAACATAGCGTTTCGAGGTGATAATGAAGTTCGGCCTCAGCGCTCGCCGCCCAATTTGAATTTTGTATAGGGCGACGATAATCAACTCTAAACACTGAAGGGGGGGGGTCCCTTTATTATCATCGGCATGTGGTTAGCGTCTTGGTGCCGGTACTGGCTTCTCATCACCGGCATCGTCGGAAAGCCGGCTCCAGCACCAAGGCCCCCATTCGAACGGAGCCCCTGAGAGCACGTGGCCCTGCAAAGACTCTGCAGGTAAGGCCTGGGCCTGAGGGCTGAGAGCCCGGAGCGCTTGGCAGAGATCGCCCTGGGCCTGCCGCGGCCCTCGTCCATGGGTTCTGTCGGGGAAGCTCTGGACTCCAGCGCTGGCCGCTGGCTGCTGGGCTCTCGCGGGTGGACCTTGCTGGCGGGCCCCTCAAGCGATGCTCAGATTTTCGTTCCCCGGTTTTCTCCCCTGCGATTCGGTGAACCAGGACGGCCTCGACCTGGCTCACAACACAACTTCGAATTGTCGACGCTTCGGGTATCCCCACCAGCCCTCCGCGTTTCCTGAGCCGCAGCGTAGCCCGCTCCTGTGCGCTCTGGTGCGTAATTTAGGCCGTTGCATTGACGCTTCGTTCTGACAGCGCCCGGCGTCTTCCGGTGCGCTTGCGATAAAAAAAAGTACCCCCACCAGCCCATCCATAACCGATGCCCAGGCGAAGTGTCAAGATAAGGGAAGTATGTAAGCAGATTTAGAGAAACAGAAATACACAAACACATATGGATACCTTGTCGTTCTGGAGCGTCTTGGGGCGTGCTTGGCCCATCCGAAAATGATTCGCAGGGGAGCTGTTGTCAGTCTGAGGAGGAGGAAAAGTGCGAGCAGAAGAGCCTTAAGCGTCTTGAATGCCTCTCGGAATCTCCTCGGAAGTTTTTTTGAGGCTTCTTGCGGTGTCTGGGGGGCTTCTTGGCGGGCCCAGGGAGGTTCTTGAGCGTCCGGGGTGCCTCAGGGATCCTCTTGAGGCCGCTTGGGGGTCTCTTGTGAGCCTCTTGGAGGCGTCTTGGACGCCTCTTGGGGCCGTCTAGGCGCCTCTTATATATGGCCCTTTGGGGACGCATTTCGGAGCCTTGGAAACGCTCTTGGAGCCATCTTAGAGGAGATCGATCAAAGAAGGGGGGTCCCTAATTAGCTTTGACCTTCGGGAGCCCCTAAAGTCGCCTCTTGGAGCGCTCTTGGGGCGCTCATGGAACGCTTTTAAAGCATCGGAAGGCCATCGGAAACGTACAGGCGGGAAATCCAAAAAGGTAGTTCCCCCCTTCTAGGTTTTTGAATGATTAAAGCTTCCTCGGGGCCTCCTTGGGGAGCTCTTTTGGCCACGTGGAGCCGTGTTGAAGCGGTCTTGGGGCTTTTTGGTAAATCTTGGGGCCATCTCGAGGCATCTTGCGCTATCTTAAGCCATCTTCGAGGCCATTTTGGGCTCTCTGAGGCCCTCTTGGGGCCAACTTGGGTTATCGTAGACGCTCCGACCGCTCGCGGCACTCCCCGTCCGGGTCCAGGGGATGGGGTAGGGGGAGGGGTCAAGAGTCTCCCTCCCCGCCCGCAAGCCGTCTCGCTCACTCCCACCCGCCCTCCCAACACATACGTAGCACCCGAGTTTGGCCCGAGCCGCAGCATATGCAGCAGTCGTCTTTGAATGGGCAGTTACTGGGGAAGCATCCGCCGCCGCCGCCGCCGCTGCCGCCGCCCGCCGCCGCCGCTGCCGCGCCGCCGCCGCCGCCGCCGCTGTCCGCCGCGACCGCCGCCACCGCGCCGCCCGCCGCCGCCGTCGCCGCCGCTGCCGCCCCCGCTGCCGAATCGCGCCGCCGCAGCCGCCGCCGCAGTCGCTGCCGCCACCGCTGCCGCCGCAGTCGCCGCCGCCGCCGCCGTCGCCGCCGCCGCCGCCGCCGCCCCCGCCGCCGCCGCCGCCGCCCCCGCCCGCCGCCACCGCCGCAGAAGCCGCAACCGCTGCCCCTGCCGCAGCCGCCGTCGCCGCCAAGTGTACTGTTCATTTTTTGGTTCGACAGGGATGGTGGGAGGAGGCCGCACCGGGTTCGCTGCGCATGCTGTGAATTTGGAGGCAGGGTGTGTTTTGGATTGTTTGTTGCAAAGGATGGTAGGAGCACAGTGTG